TGTATTGTGCCCAGATTGACTCTTCCACTGTCCTGTCTGGCTTCCCTTGTTATGCCTCCCTATAGTTGATTATGGACATGCTCTCTGTCCCACAATTCTACCAAATGCTCAAATGTTTACAGCCTTCCTCACACTCTCTTTTATCAAACCTCTGGCTTTACTTTAGCACCGACAGCTTTGTGCCCTGTCACAGGGTGATAAAGGGCCACAGGAAAATAGATGAGGGGAAATGGGAGAAACAATTTACAATTTATTAAGATTTAAGTATCATATATCATCCCCCAACCTCAACTCCCTAAACTGAAGAGCACTTGAAATGGAGATACTAGGGGGAAAAATGATCAGTAAAAATTACAGAGAAGCCAGAAGGCAGCTACCTGTATTGAGTGGCTGCTCTGTGTTGGGTACTGTGCTAGGTATTTCATATACTAACATCTGAATGTATTTAATCCTCTCAAAGGCCCTTCAAAATAGATATTACTTTACACTTCAAAGTAGTTACTACTGCCCCCATTTCACAGATGAGGAAACTGAGCTCAAAGGTGTTAAGTGCCCTTTGAGTCACATGGCTGAAAACTTATCCACAACATCGCATGCTTCAAGTAAATGTTGCAGACATTGCATGTCTAAGTTCTTCAGGGAAGGGAGACATGCCAGGGGCCTAGTTTAAGAGAAAGGCTTCAAGAAAGACCTAAGGTTCCCGGAGCAGAGCCTTGAAAAGTGAGTAGAACTTGGGTAGAATAAGAAGTAGAAGCATAGTCCGGGCCTGTGGGAAGGAGTCAGAGCTGGGAGAAAGGATCATTCAGGAGGGGGTGGGTGCTGAAAGACCAAAGGTGCTCCTACCTGCCTACCACCGAGAGTTTGGATAACCAATGCTGAGAAGGTATCAAGGACTCATTCATGGAGACCTTGGGCTACGAGATTTGAAAGCAGAAGCATTTCTGCCTATTCTTCCCTGTACTTTATGGTGCTACTTCCTTGGCCATTCCCTTCAGCCGTATGGGGCAGTGGAAAGACCATGTGTCCTACAGAGCCAGCCACTCCCTAGTTTTGTGAGGTTAGGTAAGTTACCTTGGTTTCCTGACTCTATTTCCTCATTTGCAAAATGGAACTTAGTGATGATTCATCACATGCGATAACACCCATTGAGCAGCCAGCTCTGCTGAACATGAGTTGCTCCCATTGTGGTCCTCTAACAATACCCTTTCCCCAAAACCTCTCGCCCTGGCCCAAGTTCTACAAAGTCTGCACAGACAACTCATGGGGGGAGCTAGTTCTTGGAAGAAAGGGAAGATCACCTCCCACTTCCTGCACATTCTATTCCTGCTTAGGCATTCTGATGTCCTGCTTGCTTTTTTAGGCTCTAAGTGCTATCCTGCTGACTCACTTCCGACTTCTCGTTCATCATGCTCAGCTCCTGAAAATGGAACAGAATGGAAAGGGCCGGATATTATACTGTCTGGTGATGTGTTTAAGGGGAATTGAGTGTCTGTCAGGCCAGAGCCACGTGGATGGAATGCTGGGGACATGAACTGAGCAGTGCCCAAAGTGTATTTCTCATCTGACACTTAGGACACGTTGCCTGGGATTGTAATACTAATAATAACCACCTCTATTAGCGCCACTGATGAGGAGCTAGGCAGGCCCCAGGCTACGTGCTTTCCAGAGTTGCCAATTTGAATCCTCACAACTGGAAAAATCAAGGATCTTCTCTATTATATGAACAAGGAAATTCAGACCAAGAAAGGATAAGGAACTTGCCCAAGACCACACCACATGTAAGGGGCAGAGTAGGGAGTCAAACCCATGATCTAGGTTTGTGCTGTCTAATATGGTGGCTGCTAGCCACATGAGGCTATTGAGCCCTTGAAATGTAACTAGTGTGACTGAGGAAATTGAATTTTCAATCCAATTGAGATGTGTTGTAAATGCAAAATATGCACCAGATTTCTTTCTTTTTTTTCTTTATATATTTTTTATGTTTTTTAAAAATTTATTTCTGAGAGAGAGACAGCATGAGCAGGGGAGGGTCAGAGAGAGGGAGGTACAGAATCTGAAACAGGCTCCAGGCTCTGAGCTAGCTGTCAGCACAGAGCCTGAAGCGGGGCTCGAACCCACAAACCATGAGATCATGACCTGAGCCGAAGTTGGACACTTAACCAACTGAGCCACCCAGGCACCCCTGCACCAGATTTCGAAGACTTAGTATCAGAACTTATGATCAGGACATATATATACAAACTTCTTTTTCTATTGATTACATCTTTAACATGACAATATTTTGGATATTTTGGGTTAAACAAAATATATTAAAAATAATTTTCCTTATTTCTCCTAGCTTTTTAATGGGACTTCTAGGATATTTAAAATTTCATGTGCGGCTCTCATATTCCTACTGGAGAGTTGATCTAAACCATGAACATCAAGTGGTTATAACCCAATCATTTCTTAATATTTTTGCTAAAAATTTTTAGCACAAATCCCCGATTTACATATTTTTGTTTATTTATAAGTTATAATACATGTACACTGCCCTATATATTATGAACATTGTAAGGCACTGACAAAATAGACATTTGAAAAGATGAAATAAAAACAGAGCAGAAACAGAAGTTGTACTAATTCCCTCCTGGGGTCTGATGGCTCGCTTTGTGGACCACAGGGAGTGTGCACACACCACTTGCAGGAATTCCTGTATCAGACTTAGAGCCCCCGAATGGCAGAGCCCCTGTTAGGTCATGTATCTTGTCTCCCCCCATTGCTGAACCTAGCATCATGCCTAGATATAGCTGGTGCCCAATAAATGTTTGTGGCAGGAATAAATGGTTCTTAGCACGCAATCATTTGCTGGTGGATTGGGTGTATTTCTTTACTTCACATATATTGAGTGCTTTCTGGTGCTGAAAAGTAAACAAGGCTTGAGAAGACTCAGCCCTTTTCTTCTAGACCAATGCTTCTTACACTGTAGTGTGTGAAAGAATCACCTGGAGGGCTTATTAAACGGATTCTTGCCAGTGAGATTTTGTTTCAATAGATCTGAGGTAGAACCTGAGATTGTACATTTCTAAGAAGCTTCTGGGAAACTACACTTAGGAAGAGACTGAAATGCATTGAGAAATTGGAAAGGCATCCCAAATATTACATGAGGGTGGGGACAGGGAAAGAGAATTAACATTATTGAACTTTTACTATTTGCCCAGGAACTTTTAAATACATCACCTATTATTATCTTTGTATTCAGTTGAGGCAACTGAGACTCAGAAAGTTTACTTAAACTGCTTAGGTCACAGAGCTAGTAGATGGCAGAGCTTGGATTTGTGTCCACTACTCCTGCACTCAGTAAACTCATGCGACTCCTCACTAAGTGTCTCCACCTTTTAGATCCCGCCCCAGGAACTGAGCACACAACACTGAGTGGGACCGACATGCTTTCTGTCATGGTCAAACTTAGTAAGCAATTAAAATATAGAATTCTCAGTGCTATGAGGGAGGCGGTATGATGAAGATATGTAACAGAGATACATAGTCTACAACAGATTCAGGAAAAACTTTCTTGGGGGGGGGAAGGTAAAATTCATCTGAACGATAAATTAGAAGAGCGAAAGGTGAGTGAGGAGTGTTTGGGGGTGAAGATATTCATGAAAGTTCGGAAGCAACAAACCATTTGTGGAACTGAAAGTTTAGAATGTCAGAAGTATGGAGGGGGGAGGTGATAGATTAAGATCATTGAGCAAGGTGAGAACAAGATCAAGCAGAACAATTATTGACTTTTTTCAAAGGCAGGGGCATGGTCAGATTTGTGTTTTTAAAAGATTGCTATACTTTAAATGGAGGGTGGAATAGAGATGTGCTAGCCTGCAGGCAGGGAGATGTATTAAAGATGCTAGCGGCATAAATCAGGGTAATATTGTGGTAATTGGAGAAAGGGGGGTGTTAAGAAGCATTTAAAGGTGTTTAAACCCTTTGGGGTGCCTGGGTGGCTCGGTCCCTTAAGCCTCTGACTCTTGATTTCAGCTCAGGCCATGATCTTGTCGTTGGTGGGATTGAACCCCAAGTGGGGCTCTTTGCTGACAGTGTGGAGCCTGCTTGGGATTCTCATTCTCTTTCTCTTTCTCTCTCTCTCTCTCTCTCGTTCTCTGCCCCTCCCCAGCTTCTTCTCTCTCTCTCTCAAAATAAACAAGATTTAAAAAAGTGTTTGACTTGATGATTGATTAGAAGGGAAGGAGTGGGCAGGCAAAGAGAAATCAAAGATGATCTCTAGGGTTCTGAGTGCAGTTTTCATAAGGAGAAGGTTCTATAAGCTTATTAGTTCATATTTTATTTTATTTTTATTTATTTCTAGGAGAGAGAGAGACAGCGTGAGCAGGGGAGGGTCAGAGAGAGAGGGAGACACAGACTCTGAAACAGGCTCCAGGCTCTGAGCTGGCAGTCAGCACAGTGCCCGATGCGGGGCACGAACCCACGAACCGCGAGATCATGACCTAAGCGAAAGTCGGACGCTTAACCGACTAAGCCACCCAGGCCCCCCTAGTTCATATTTTAAAAGAAAAGTAAATTCAAATAAATGAGGTTATGCGATGGTAAAAGAAAGAGGTTATTTTAGTAAGATTTATTCAATGACTAAAACTTAGAACATACAGGAGAAAATTACCATCTTTGTGGTTAAGTTTATTATTCTTGTTGCTTTAATTTGTAACTTGTATTTAATTTGTATTTAAGGAGAGGTTTATCATCTATTGAGAGTGGAGTTGTGAACGTTGGAGACAGCACCTTTTTCTGCCAAGATCAGGATTAGCCATGGAGGACCAGCCAGCCATAGGCTATGAACTATCAGTCTACTGAGTTTCTTCTGTGACTGTCTTGTTGAGGAACCTTGGACCTTGAGTTTCGTTAGTTCGACATCCCTTTTTGCTCCCCCTATTTCTTCTCCACACTTGATGACTTAAAAACGGTAAGAGATGGCTCATCAATGGACCAGCGATGATTGGGACTCCGCCTTCTTCGTCTCATTCCCGCCCCCTTACTGTAGACCCCACCCCCTTACCTTGGCCCCGCCCCCGAAGAGGTCGTCGCTGATACGACAGTGAATGCCCCACAATCCTGACCTATAGGAGACCTGAAGGGTGGGACCGAGATCAATCTTTTTTTTCATTTGTCAAATCAAGTGTCTATCTGACCCCAGTCCCATCCCACTTCATCTTCAAGCCAAGGATTGGTTGCTCTGCTCTTGGTCCCCGGCTCGTGATTGGTTCTTTTATTCCACCCTCTCTTCCAGCTTTTGCGGGCGGGATTAGCACGCAGCTTCCTGCTCCTGCCAAAAAAATAAAAGAAGAAAAAGAAAAGAGGAGAGAGGCGAAAGAAAATGTCACGGAGATCTTTGGTTTTTAATTCGCTTTCAGTCTTGTCGGTCAGGCCGGACTCTGCCTTTTGATTGGTCTCTCTATCTGCCCATCCCGGATCGGGGGCGGGATTTCCCCAGGAGACCCACACCTTGTTGCCACTGGCCGAACAGTGCGCCTGTCTGAAGCTCCGGGCCCAGGATTGGAGGCAGACGCAGACAGGTGGGCGTGGATTGGCCAGGGCAGCCGGTCAGTGCGAGGCGGGGGCGGGGCCTCGGTGGCTGGTTGCGCGTGTCCGCCGCTGGCTCCGCTCTATCCGGCTTTGCTAGGGGAGGTGAGTCCGGCCGCGGCGGCACCGGCGGCGGAGGAGGCGGCGGCTGAGCAGAAAGCGGCCGGCAGCGACTGAGGAGAAAGCGGCCGCGGGGACGGGAAGCCGGGTGGGGGGGAGGGGGGGAGACGGAGCAGCCTTGAGCCCTGCGGGGGCCGTCGCGCGGGGGGACCCACCCGCTCTCCCCCCCAACCCTCCTCAGCAGAAGCAGCCGGCGGCGGGGGCAGGAGTCAGCCCGCTTCCGACTGCACCCCGCCCGCCTCCCGGGGCTCCTATTCTTTGGCCCCGGGACCCTAACCTCATCCCGGGGCGGTTCCCTGTGTCTGGGCGTCCGAGTGCTGCCCACCTCTCTTTCATTCCGCCCCGCACCTCCTTACGTTCACTTTGCCCCGGGTCTCTTTCTCCTCTCCGTCCTGCCCTGTCGCCTGCTCTGCTCACCCTCTCCCTCCTGCCTCCTTCCCTGGCTCTTTTCTCTTCTGGAAAGTTTAGCACCACCCTCCAGTCGGGTCAGCCTGACTAGGAGTAGGGGGAGATGTAGGAAGGCCCGAGAGTTCGAGGGGGGGGGGAAGCTGGTTTCCCTGGAAATTTCCCCCCATCTTTTGCATTTGGGGCGGTTGGGATTTTGTTTTAAAATTGTATTTTTGAGGAGGTGGTAGGTGTTTAGAAAAGGATGTGGGAATGGAAGGGGTAGATGAGTCACCCCTCTTACAAGATTCCAAGGGTGGCGTGTTTCCTGATCCTTTTCGTGCGTGGAGTTCAGGGGGTCGGGAGGTTTGGCCTTCATTCCCACATTCAAAGTTGGAACCTCCCCCCAATTAAGGATGGAGTTTTAGTACCCACTTGTGGCAGGAAACCTGGGGGGAAGGGGTCCCTTTTTCCTTTTTCCTTTTCTTTTTCTGTTCCCTTTCCTTTTCTTTTTGCGGGCAGCCCACACCCTTCCCCACACGCGCACCCCCAAAGTAGACACCAAGACCCTCGGCCTTGTTTGGATTGACTGATGAAGACCTAAAGCCAGCTTCCGCTCCATGTTTTCCGAGGTGGAGCGCGTGGTGTTTCTTCATTTCTAAATGGCCAAATGACAGCCTGACCCCGTTTGCTTTCCAATCAAAGGGCATTTTTGTTTTTTTTGAATGTCTCTTTGTGGCGCAAGAGCCAACGCAAAAATGATGGCGGCTTACAATGGCGGTACATCTGCAGCAGCAGCAGGTCACCACCACCACCATCACCACCACCTGCCACACCTCCCTCCTCCTCACCTCCACCACCACCACCACCCTCAACACCATCTTCATCCGGGGTCGGCCGCTGCTGTACACCCCGTCCAGCAGCATACCTCTTCGGCGGCGGCGGCGGCCGCGGCGGCGGCCGCAGCCGCAGCCATGCTAAACCCTGGGCAACAACAGCCATATTTCCCATCACCGGCCCCGGGTCAGGCTCCCGGACCGGCTGCAGCAGCCCCCGCTCAGGTACAGGCTGCCGCAGCTGCCACGGTTAAGGCGCACCACCATCAACACTCGCATCATCCACAACAGCAGCTGGATATAGAGCCGGATAGACCTATTGGATATGGAGCCTTTGGTGTTGTCTGGTGAGTATCCAAAGAAGCCCGCCACCTGTGGTTCCTTCTCTCCACGAAGTTGGGCGAGCCGTCCGCCGTGTTTTTCTCCATGGGGACCATCATGGAGCCGCTCAGCTGTAGGAAGACCCCCTCCACTCCCATCCCTGGTCAAGAGGCCCCTCTGTGTTGGCTCTCTGGGGTTATGCTTTTGAGTCATGGCCCTTGCCTTGGTAGGACGCCTGCTGATGCGTGACCGACATGTTTGGCTGTCTGCCAAACTTAGTTTGGAACCTGGGCCAGCGGCCGGGATGTAGGATCCGTAGATGAAGGTGCGAAGCGTGCATCCCAACAGACCTTGGTCTTCTCTTCCGGTTGAGGTCGTTCGAGCGAGTCGCCCAGTTGCAGCGGATGTCACAGACGATCCCTACTTTGATTCCGTAGCCTCGTCTTGTCATTGGGTTATCCTTGCGTAACTACGTTGAGGTCCCTTCTTGGCTTTTCGTTCCTTGGGTTGTGATCATGATCCCGGGAAGGAAGGTAGGGTTCATACTTGAACCAGTTAAGTCCTTGCTGGAGTGGTTTATTTTAAACCCTAAAGCTACAGTCGGGAAGTATGTAGCTTTAGCTTTTTTGATAAGAATGCATTAAATATAGCATCACACATGAGTACCACAAATGAGGTCAGTAGACTGTAGCTGTGCCCTGGCCCACATTCAGTGTAATGTTTTAGTGTCATTTAGTGTCATTTAGTGCCTCTTAAGTTGCTGTTATCCCTTGGTTGGTGGCTGTAGTAGGAAGTATTCTTTTGAAACGTATGAAACTGCTCCACTTTTGCTAGTGCTGGGATGTTTTAAAAAGTCCCAGCGCTTCTGAGATGCAACATCTTGTCTGTTTACTCTTCTCGGGAAGATCAGTAGTTTATGATAAAATGAATTTACCTTCGGAGGTGCCGTTGCTGTCAGAACTAGCACAAACGGAATTGTTTTTTCCTGGAGGATTAAGTATTCTAGTGTGGACAGAGGAATTGATGTTTTCAGGCCATTCAAAAATAGATAGTTGATAATGTCTAGAAAAGCCCCCATCACTACAGGAAAATGAACTCTGTGGAAGCCTGGTAAATGTCTCCTTTTGTCATTGTTTTTCACGCTGTAATCGATGTGAAAGTCGTGTTTGCATTATATCTGGCCGTCTTCATGTATGTTTCACATTTTGTAATCTAGGCTACAGATACTAAGTGATCTGTTTTTTGTTTGTTTGTTTGTTTGTTTGTTTTTAAACTAGCAGGGTCCAGTGTTTTCCCAGCTAGCTCCCCAGGGAGGTTATTGCGGGGCTCCCTTCTCCAGGATTCCTGGTGGGAAAGAGCATAGCCGGTAATGGTGTCTCTCAGTGGCTCTGCCCAGGGACCTGTCTCTTCCTGCCTTCTCTTTTCGTATCCTGTCCCCAGGGATTGCACCGTGAACTTCCATTCCTTGCCTAACCCTTGAGGATTTCAGAGGCGTGGGGCCTGGGGGGCGCGGACGGGGACACGGTGGTTCCGTGCTGCACATTTTGTCATCGATTTACTGACACCTTGGATTTTCTTAGACCTGAATGTTCTCTTTCTTTTTAGTGCTCTACATACAGTATTAAGAACTAGAGATCCTGAAGGGGAAGTGGATTGCAGCGTTCTTGACCATATTCTAAAAATGGTCCTGCATTTCTCTCGGACGGTGATGTGACTTGTAGAGTTTTCACGTCAAGGCAGTGCGAAAGGGAAAGATTTTTTTTTTTTAGGGGAGGAAGGTGAGGAACTGGGAATGCTGGAACACCTCCCACAGCAGACATTCTGGGAGAGGCTGTTCTGAATTTCATGTGTGTGAAAAACGGAATGTTTTCGATTGGAGTCCATTCTAGGTCCTGTCATTGACTGAAAGCCTCCTGTCACCGAGAGTTGGCTCCCAGTACTTGAAGAGTACCTCATTCTGGACACCCGTCTTCTGTTGTACACCCGTTGTTTTGTGTTTGCCTTGTCTCACTAGGTTTGTAAGCCCCTCGAGGGTATGGACCGTGTCTTCCTGGGTCCTTCATTTCCTCCGCGGCACTTAGCACAGTGCCCTGGCGTCTTCGCTGCTCGATGGCTTGATTTCCTGGTCAGGCCCCTCTTTCCTTGACCAAGTTTTTCTGGTTAGCTGCACTGAGGGCTTTTACTCGGTTGTTACAAGGGAAGTACAATTCAGTTATAAAAAAAAGGAAGAGTTCCAGGTGTGTGTTTTAGTATGCAAATGCCTTTCTATTTTTATATTTACATATCGATGACTTGCTGTCTGAATTGCTTATTCTATTTGGAACTTAGCTGCTATATGGACGACCCGAGTAGAGTTGTTAAAACTAAAGAGTTGAACACCAGACCAGAGTGAATTGCACACTATTCTGAAACCCAAGCTAAAGATATTAGTGAGGTGTTTTTGTTTTTGTTTTTGTTTTTGTTTTTTGTTTTTTGGTTTTTTTTTTTTTTTGGTTTTTAACTAACTGGACCAGAATTTTTCTTTTTAATATGGAAAACACCTAATGAACCTGAAACTCTTTTCTAAAATCATTAAAATAGGACATAAAAATATGTTCCCAGTGATAACATCATTTGATTAAAACACCATATAACTACTTGGGCATCATAAAATCCACTTAGAGTCAGATATATTAAAACAATTTTTTTAATGTTTATTTAGTTTTGAGAGAGAGAGAGAGCGAGCAAGCAGGGGAGGGGCAGGGAGAGGGTGACATAGAATCTGAAGCAGGTTCCAGGCTTCACGCTGTCATCACAGAGCCTGACTCGGGGCTCGAACTCACAAACTGCAAGATCATGACCTGAGCCGAAGTCAGACATTCAACTGACTGAGCCACTCAGGCCCCCCTCTAATATGCTTAGTGCATCTTACAAGTATTTTTCTTCTGGCATACCACACGAAAGGACACGATATCTGCTCTCCTATCTTTTTCAGGACATGCACCCCAAATTATTAACTGATGTCTGAAAACATTGCATGTAATTTTGAACAATATTGTTTTTCCTGTATGTAGACACAGAAGGATATTTGTAGAAGTGGTGTAGCCTTTTACCAGTCAGATTTATAACTGAACAATTTAGCCTTGATTTATCTCTCAGCTGAATTTAACTAGTGGAATAACTTATCAGTATTGGACAGTTGTGTAAAAGTAGTGAATTACCTATTAGCTTGCTGGTCAAGATGGTGCTTTGACAGTTCAATTAAGGTTTCATTAACAACTGTCTGCTGTGTTTTATCTCAAAGTAAGGGTTCCAGTTTACGTGGTAATATGGTCACAGGGTAGGCTGGGCTACATTCATTCTAATGATAGAATGTTGTTCATGGGTCATCAAAGCATCATATGTAATTTGACCTTCTTTATCAGATGTCAAGGCTCCAAATGTCCATTTGGACGTTTTCATAATGCAAAACCCAAACACAAAACAACCCCCACACAGAAACCTCAGTCATTTGGGGAGGATAATGTAAGTATCTATTTGTCTGTAGTTCACATTTGCCAGAGGAAAGTGAGTATGCAGTGCTTAAAATTGTGACAGCCTTGGGACAGAGTATTGCAGCATGTCTTCAGGGGCTTACGAAGCACCAGTTTTTTTTTTAAGTTTTTAAGTGTTTTTTTAAATTCATTTTTGACAGAGAGAGAGAGAGAGAGAGAGACAGTGTGAGCAGGGGAGGGTCAGAGAGAGAGAGAGGGAGACACAGATCCAAAGACAGGCTCCAGGCTCTGAGCTAGCTGTCAGCCACAGAGCCCGACGCGGGGCTCGAACCCACGAACCACGAGATCATGACCTGAGCAGAAGTCGGACGCTCAACTGACTGAGCCACCCAGGTGTCCCGCGAAGTGCTTATTTTTGAGGGTTGGAGGAAGTTGACCACTTGAGAGAAGTTTGAGGACTGCACCACCCAGACAGTTTTGACATTGACAACCAGAAATATTGATTGAATTAATGGCATTATAGTGCCACCTTGATAATGAGTCTGGGAAATGCTTCTGCATAGACCATTAGCGTTTTGGTTTTTAACTTATGTGATTCATTGAAAGATCAAATACTCTGGGATTCATTTGGTCTGTTGCCTTTGTACTCTAAGCAAAGTTGGAGAACTTTGAATTTTACTATTCTAATGCCTTCAGCAGGTTACTTTTATGTAAGTCTTTCAAAACTTAAGCATCACTGTAGTGATACT